AACCCGTGAACCAGGAGATCCCGGTTTGATTCCAAGTCAGGGCACATGCCGGGGTGTGGGCTCAATCCCAGTGTGGGGCGTGCAGGAGGCAGCCGAAACATCTCTCATCATTGATATTTCTCTTTTTCTCCTCTCCCTTCCTCTCTGAAATCAATAAAAAATATATATTTTTAAAGTCACTACTTGGCTATGTATGCAGAAAACGGTGTTTTGTTTTGGATAATTGTTGATATCATTTTTCCTTTAAATTTTATTAAAGGGTTGAAAAGCGATACACCTCACCGTGAGTAGTGGCTTTCTTAAACCGAGGATTATGGAGCACTTTTACCCTTCTGTCCCATATACATTTCTATAAAGGCTAGAATGATCTATAACGAGCATATATTTATTACTTTTAAATTAGGACAACATTGAAAACTGCATAAACATGTATTTTAAAACACTAAAACTACATGTTTAGGTGTTTTATAAAAGGAAGAATTGGCAGTGGTGGTGGTACTGGTTTGCTTTTCACCTGTCAGATTTTGGTTATACAATAAAGTTGCGGAACAATGCCAAAGGAATGTGAGACAAGTCACAGTTAGGGCTGATAGCAGGAGGTTGCAGTCTACCCTTCCCTCATGTCCCCACTCCCATCTTTCCTTGCATATTCCTGGCTGTGTCTTGGTCAACTAACCTATTTCCCATTCTCGGTCATCCCGATTATGTGCTTACGATGTTGGCTAATGCATGTTAAGGTGGAAACTCCCCTTGAGGTGTTTGCATATCTGAAAGCACCTCCTTGATCGAAGGCAGGCCCAGATGGGTCCGAGCCCCACAGGAGGAACCTGTTCTGTCCCACGTCTTCTTTATGACGTTTATGGACCCAAATCTGGGTCCAAGGAAATATCTTGGTTTACGGAGTGAGATTGGGATCCAAACTTTTATATTTTCCAGACATTTCCTCCAGATGTCCTGATTATTTGTTGACTAACCCATCAATTCCTCCAGATTTGAAATGCCACCTATGTCATGTACTAAATTCCCAGGTGTGAGCACACGGTTCTGTTTTGCTCATTCTCAGTCCCAGTCTTTGAATTACAGTAGCTTTACAATCTGTTTTTACTATGTCGTAAGGCTCATTCTTATCAGGAAGAATTGATACCTGTATAATGTCAATCTTATTTTTTCAGGCCGTTTTCTGAAGTACAGTAGTTGAAGGCTGTCTTTATATAGCAGGAACTGGTTAAGTTTAATCCTAAATATTTTATGTGTCTTGTGACAATTATAAGGGTGCTTCTTCTGTTATATTTTCGGAGTGTCATTTATGTATAGAAGAGCCTATTTTTTAACCCAACGATTTTACTGAATTTCATTTGCAAATAATCAGTTGTTTGTACGGGGGAACAATGCCATTGTCCAATAGTCGCTGAAGCTATACCCATCGACATCCACAGACACCTGGAGTGATGGTAGTCTTTCACATCTATGCATTTGTTATTTTTAAATTTATTTGTACCTTGAATTGTGAAATACTTCAAACGAACAGGAAATTGTCAAATACTAACATACCTATCATTTATATTTGACAGATACTAACTTCTTTTCGTATTTATCAGATCTCTGCTTTTTAAACAAAAACCTGGTATAGTACCACAGGTAAACCTGAAATCCCTTTACCATTATTCCATCTCCCTCCTCCCTCTTCCCAGAGTAACTCCTGTCCTGAGGTTGGGGCTATCATCCTATACTCCCTTTGTGTGTGTGTGTGTGTGTGTGTGTGTGTGTGTGTGTATGTGTGTGTATGTGTGTGTGTGTGTGTGTGTGTGTATATATATGTGTATGTATATATGTATATATATATATATGTGTGTGTATGTAGTTCTAGTGTTTTAAAATGCATGTTTATGCAGTTTTCAATGTTGTCCTAATTTAAAAGTAATAAATATATCCCCGTTATAGATCATTCTAGCCTTTATAGAAATGTATACGGGACAGAAGAATAAAAGTGCTCCATAATCCTCGGTTTAAGAAAGCCACTGTTCACTGTGAGGTATATCACTTTTCAACCCGTGCTGTTAGGTGGAATTTAGTAGAACCGAAAACTATCTGATCTGCTTAACAAAAGAAGGCCTTCCCGAGGGAAGCCTAATTGGGGTATGTATTTACCACCATATCCTGTTCTGTATGGATAGTTCTTTATCTTGTTAAAAAAAAAAAAAAAAAAAAAAGACAAGAAAGGGTTGTCAACAAAGGTTACTGGACTTGAAGCGGGGTTTAACCGGGAAACCCATCATTGTTTATGCCACAGAGCAACAGACTTATATAGACTTGATCGCTGCACCTGATAGAGCCCCGGCTTGCACAAAGCAGCCAGCCTTGATGAGCAGCTGGTAAACTTGGAGCACGTATAGGACAATGAGAGGAAGTCTACATATAAACTTCTCCCTGCGAGGGAAGGTGGTTTTTCCATTTGCCTTTTTCTGAGCAATTTAACTTCCTAATTCGTGGTTCAAATTGTTTCAGAGACTATGTAAACCATATGTTTGCTAAGCGCTGGAGACAAACATGGGGAAGTCTCATTAGCAGCAGCTTCCCTCCGGAAAGGGGCTTCTTCCCCAGCCCAGCTTAGCCTGCTTTCTACTTACTGGACAGGAGCGAGGAAGCAGAGGAGGGAATCGGGTCGGAAATAGCTGCCTCTGGCTATATTCCGTCCCCTCACCCCCCCCTTCCTTCTGCTTAAGCACGTAGTCTAGCACATATGTTATCCTCTGTATCAGCACGAGAGCAATAGTGGGTGCTGACTGACATGAGGAGGAGGCAGTTCAGTATTTAGCAGGTCTGGAGAGGGGAAATGCAGTTACTTTTGAACCTTTAGGAGATTAAGTGCATGTGTGTGAGGGAGCATGAGCAGTGACCGGGCTAGCAAGAGTGAGATGCTTTTCCATATTTGTTTTATTGGGTTTGAATAATCGCTGACAAGGATAAAGAAGTTACTACTGTTAAATGAAAGCAAGTTCTTTTTATATTAAATTTATTAAAAGAGTAGTGAAGTTGTAAATGGTATTTATTATGAGATGATGAAGTTTACAGGTCTAGATAAAATGATGTTATTGGATGATTGCTATTGAATCAAATTTTTTTTTAAAAAATGGCAAACATTTCCTGCTTCCTATTTTGGACTCAAAAGTCAAAACAGTGGGATAGTTCCTTATAAGGCCCCTTCAGTGACACAGATGTGTAGCAACTGTCACCTGGAGGTGAACTCTCAAAGCTATGAATAAAGTGGCGTAGCTCATCACCCAATCTGGATATTTGAGAGAACAACAGGCATGCACTGGGTCAGCGGTCACCCTCGCTCTTAATGGTCTTGTAGTTCTTATCGCTGAAGAGAACAATTAAAAACATTCTATTATAATTTATCTCCTTCTTCTGTCTCTAATTACCCTCAAAGACAAAGATTCAAAGCACCCATGAAACACAGTAGCTACTATTGTTTGTATTTGGGCAAACACTGGGGAAATTAGACACTCTAAAACTTAAGAGACACAAAAAAAAAAATAAAAAGATTTAGGTGGTTTATTCGTATTAGTTTACATTAGTTTCCTGTAAACTCTTGGTCTTGGTTTCTAGTGGGGACTACCCAACAGGTAAAACCACTTCACGCTAAAGACTTTTTGGAATGTGAGTCATCTTGAATGACTGCTTTATAGCATGTGCATTTCTTTGCCTCCTATTTCTTTGGAAATGAAAAGACTATCTGTTCAGTGTCATTGTATAAGGCACTACCTAAACACGCAGGCACACGGCATTGGGGTGGTTGGAGTTTTCTGTCTGCAGCAAATTATTTTAACTGGAAATCGAGTGCCTTTGACTAACGGGGGCAGTATTTTTAACTTGTGAGTTGGACCCAGAGTAACTAGGAGTTGCAGAGAGAGGGCCATAACCAGGAAGCCTTCCTCATCTTGTTGTTTCTCTTGTTGAGGTTTTGCTTTTGCTTGTGTGTTTGTTTTATCTTGAGTCCTGGGCTGTTAAATCCATGTCTGAGATATCTGGACACACATTATAAACTTTTTCTGCTCTTCCAAAAACTGCTTTGTTTCTGGTAAACATGGTCTTTTAAACACACAATCTTAGTTGTTTGTAAAGTGTATCATCTCTTTCCTCCTTTTATAAAAATTGTGAGCTTTGATTAGCCTCATTTTGGTATGACCAGTACTGTTGTATATCCTGAGTATGGCTTTGTGCGTCTATAGGCAGTTAGTTCCGGGAGAGCTTTGGGGGTGATCTTGCCGTGTGAGCTTTCAGTTAATACAGATTATTACCCTAGCAACAAAAGACTTGTTAGAGGGCAGTATTTCGCTTTGATATATAATAACTGTGTTTGCTGTCTTTTGAGGGAACACTGTATCACGCTAAATTTTAGAAAAGATAATAGCTTTTCAAGGAGAGTACAGGGGAGTAGTTGATAGGCAGCTGTCCAGCACTGAATAAAAGAAATTCTGAGAAATCTTGAGAAAATGGCTTGTTCTGGAATTCCTAGTATAGGAATTTTTCTTTTCTTTTAATTTCCCTGAGTTCATACATTTGTGTTTATTATTAAGTAAGGAAGCCTTTTGACATTGTTCCTAGACTATACTTAAATGTATTGCATAGTTATCAATTTATTCAACAGATATTTATTGAGCTCTCCCATGTTCAACTGCAAAGGTACATAGTCACAGTAGAGGGAAAGCTGTAGCTAAGCTGGGTAGGGGTTTTCAAGGAGATGAGGGTGTATGCAGGGGGTGATTATAACTAGCCACCAAGAAATCCAAGCATGAACCAGAAGACATGAAGGGTTTAAGGATGGGAGCAAGGTGGTAGCATCAATGGCTTTTAGAAACTGGTAGGTTGAAGAATTGTTGGGCTTTATTAGAAGAAGAGAGACAGGCAGTGGTGATGAAAGTCCTGTTTGACATCCGGATTACAGGTGACAGTCTCATCCACTATTGACATGTTCTTTTCCCCTTTCCTTATAGTGAAGAAAGTTACAACGTCAATGATTATTCCTTAAGAGATCAGCTATTGGTGGAATCTTGTGACAATGAAGAGCTTACTTCGTCGCCAGGGAAGAACAGTTCCACAATGCTTTATTCAAGACAGAACTCTGCCAGTCACCTCTTCACTCTGACCGTCCTTAGTAACCACGCGAATGAGAAAGTGGAAATGCTGCTAGGGGCTGAGACACAGTGAGTAGGGGTGGGGAGAGGGTTTCAGAGCAGCTGGTATCAGTCTTCCCTGCCTCATGGCCCTGGGACTTCCTAGAAATAGGGAGGGGACTTGAGTGGGTGTGGTGATTGCTGGGCTGTGCAGGGGACCAGCAGGAGACACCTTCCCAAAGCTGAGGAAGGCGTTTCTTCAGCTCAAAGACAGTGCAAGACCTTCTTTGGGCACCCCTCTCCTAAGCAGAGAGTGTAATATGTCTGAGCTTTGGATTTTATAAGACTTGAAGTAGCCCTAACCGGTTTGGCTCAGTGGATAGAGTGTCAGCCTGCGGACTGAGGGGTCCCAGGTACGATTCCAGTCAAAGGCATGTACCTTGGTTGTGGGCACATCCCCAGTAGGGAGTGTGCAGGAGGCAGCTGATTGATGTTTCTCTCTCATCGATGTTTCCAACTATCCCTCGCCCTTCCTCCCTGTAAAAAAATTAATAAAAATAGATTTAAAAAAAAAAGACTTGAAGGATAAAAACGTCTTACATGCTTTGGAGGTTAGTGCGTGTCCAGATGTTCTGGAGCATTCTCAGAAACTGGAGACTTCCTTTCATCACTTGCAGTTAGTAATGGCGAAAGTGTGTTGGTTTTGCTTTGTGTCTCCCTTTCCTCTGTGTTTATAAGGAGTGTTTGTTTTTTATCCAGGCCTTGCCAACATAGCAGAGCTCTTCCCAGCTGTCTCCTTTGTAATGTATGCCATCTCCACCACTGTTTCTGAGATTCCTGGAGGAGAGTAGGAAGTAAACCGACGAGCGCAGTTCTTTTTGCACCGAGGCCAGATCCTTTCCTGGGACATTCCGTAGCATTAGTCACCCCACCTGCCTTTTGATTGTACCCCGGGCTGAATGGATATTCCTTTCCTCAGTCAGAAATATTCTCAGAAGATCTGGTTATGTCACCAGTAAACTCATGCGTATGACTCATATTTGTAGTTCTTTAATTAATAGAAAAGAACATTCCAGAAAGGGCATGGGGCAGACGTCTCCTTGGGTACAAAGGGAGTGACTCCTTCACTCTCTCCCACCAGGAACTCAATTACAGTTCAAAAGTAAATAACTAGACAAAGACTTTTAAGCTCACGGATGTGGTGTTGAAGGAAAATATATTACAGCCATATGCACTTTCCTTTAAAAACAGTAGACTGTTTAAAAGTCTAGCAAATTGACCCTGGTGGCTCCGTTCGTTGAAGCATCGTCTGTATACCAAAAGGTTGAGGGGTTCGATTCCAGGTCAGGGCACATACCTAGGTTGCAGGTTCAATCCCTGGTAACCAGTCGATGTTTCTCTCTCACATCTATGTTTCTCCTTTTCTCCCTTCCTCTCTCTCTCAAATCAATAAACATACCCTTGAGTGAGGAATTTAAAAAAAAAATCTGGTAAGTTGGTATATGCCATAATTGGAAATTGCAGGTCATCTCTGGGTTACTTGGTTTTGAGCAATCAAAGTTTAGGCCTATATATCGTGTTTTCTTTGCTTCTAAGATTTGCACAATGTATAGGAGTGTATACATTTTTCATGTTTTGCCTCTTTTGTACATGGTTAATATAGTTCATTAGCAATCCAGTTGAGAAAAGAAGGTTTTCACCACCGCACTGGCCTTGAGTAATTGTAGAACCCAGGCAAGTCACATGTATCCTTTGGCTACTAATTCTTCAATTTGAAAAAGAATAGGGTTCATCCCTAAATATTTACCTTCTTTGAAAATCTGTTCTTTGCAGAGGCCACCTGGGGGAATATGAAATGTAGAGTTAGCTATAGGAGGGGTGCAGCTGTTTGGCACAAAGACAGTTCAACAATCATGACAGTGACATTGAGGAAGAACAGGTCGATAGCTCTGATTACATGAAGAATGCAGAAAAGCTCACTGAAGGGAATGGGGCACACCCTTGGTGAGCATCTGGGCTGTGCCAGGCACTGAGCCAGCTCTAGAACAGGAAGAAGGGGCCCATAGCTGTTTCCAGAGAAAGGGAGAACCTCAGAGCTGAAGGGGCATCTAAGTCAGGTGACAGTGCCAATTCCCCAGGATCAATATTATGTCTGTTCTGGCCAACTGAAGAATACTACCCACTTGGAATCTCAAAAGTATCTTGTTTAGACATATAAAATATGTGATGACCCTAATTACAAGTCCGTAGTCCAACTCCCTTTTCCCCCTAAAAGTAAAACGAGACTCACAGAGGTGAAGTGATTTGCCTGCAGGAAGTGAGTTATTGCCAAAGCTGGGACTAGACCCTGACTTGCCTCAATGCAGAATTATTCCTAGTAGCAGAGTTTTTCCTTTGGTTTTCTCACTGAGAAAACTGTGGCTTGCGAGCCTCATGCGGCTCTTTGGCCCCTTGAGTGTGGCTCTTCCACAAAATACCACGTGTGGGCGCGCACGTACAGTGCGACTGAAACTTCGTGGCCCATGTGCAGAAGTAGGTGTTTTGTGGAAGAGCCACACTCAAGGGGCCAAAGAGCCGCATGTTGCTCGTGAGCCGCATGTGGCTCGTGAGCCGCAGTCTGCTGACCACTGCTCTACGAAGACACCTCTCAGGGCTGCTCGTGGTGATGTTGTCCCCCAGAATTCTGGCTGCTTGCTGTCTGTACCACTCTTAATAATTCATTTTTCTCCTTAGCTTTTTTTAAAATATATTTTTATAGATTTCAGAGAGAAGGGGACAAGGAGAAAAAGATAGAAACATCAGTGATGAGAGGGAATCATTGATCGGCTGCCTCCTACTGGGGATGGAGCCCGCAACTCCGGCATGTGCCCTGACTGTGAACCTAATCATGACCTCTTGGTTCATAGGTTGACACCCAGCCACCGAGCCACACACGGTGACTGGGCTCCTTTGTTTTCTGTCTTGCCTATATTCTGCCCCTAAATCTCTCTTTACTATTCCAGCTGAACTTCTTGAGAGCATAGTCTTCATTTCCCCCCATTAATGCAGCACTTTTATTGGGCACCTACATCCTTTCAAGAGCTACTCTAAGTGCTGGGATGTAGGCGTGAACAGTAGAGACCAGACCCCTGCCCTTTGGGCTTCTGTTCATGTGAGCAGCTTACCTCTGCGTTCTTCCCGCCCTCAAGGAGGGTGACTGGATGGCAGTGAACTTTGGCCAGTCAGCTTGGGCAAATGGCCTATGATGAGCTGCGGCAGTGGGAAAGTATTTCTTCTTGATCCACTTGAAAGTCAATGTAAATGCAGTGAGGACTGCAAAGCCAGGCGATGGAATTTAGAGTGAATGTTGAGTGCTGGGTCATGTACTCTAAGTTAGATGGTGGAGGAAGACTTTTCTGAGGTGACATTTGAACTGAGAGCCCTAAGTGACAAGAAGTTACCCATAGGAAAATGCAGAGCCAGAATGTTGTAGGCAAAGGAAACGGCGAGTGCAAAACCCCTAAGGAAACGAGTTTGATGTTGTCAAACTTGGCTTGAACATAGTGAATGTAGGTAAATAAGAATAAACCAGGGAGCGGGTGGGTGGCTAAGAGGCCAGCGGAGGCCAGGGCATTTCGGAGCAGAGCTATTCCAGGGCCTTCTGTGGACTTTAATCTCCAAACATTACCAACCTGGCATGAGGGTAGGGGTTTAAAATGTATAGTATTTTGACATTTCTGCAGCATCAAAGCATGCAATTATTTTAACAGTAATTCATTTTTATTGGATTTCTGAAAACACTTGGTTCACAATGGATTGGGTGGTGAGGATCGTTTCTTTACCACGGATATTTTGAGAAGCACTAATCTGGAACCTCATAAGTCATGGTTGGGGGATCCCTGGAAGACTGGAGGGGAGGTAGAAATTCCCATGGGGAGAGCAACTCGGGCCATGTTGGAGGGGTCAAGGGGGTTCGGGGTGGTGGTGCCTTGGGCCATGGTATATGAAGGGAGAAGGAAATATTACATTTAGGAGACAGAGACAACAGGACTGACTCACGATGAGTTGGGTGGCACTGCGTGAAAGAGAGGGGTCAGTGATGCTTTGGATTTTTGGTACTTCATACGGAGTTACCCCTTAACCGTCTTCTATATGGCTTCCTCTGCCTCCCTGCTGAGGCTGTCCCATCCAAAATTATCCATTAGCCTAGTTACCACACCCAGTCAGTCTTCTTTCTTTACCGCAAGGCCATTTAAGGTTGACCATCAGACTGAGGCTAACTCCTTTTGGAGATGCTTTCTCAAAGAATCTCTTAGTTTTATGTCCATGTTTAACCCTCCCTCTTCGCTTTCCCTTCAGAAATGCAACCTGTCTGAAGCCAGGCATCACCCCTGCCCACCGCTTACTCAGTTACTCAGTCTGGAGACTTGGTGTCACTTCTGATGCTCCCAGTCTGCGCAGATCCATCACCGGCCAGCCCTTCCTGTACTAAAGTCTACTGCAGCCTTCCGCGTGTTTCCACTCCACTCCCTCCTCCTAGAACACCCCCTATGCCACTTACCTTTTGAACCACCTAACTATCTTCTCTCTAATCATTCTGCATGGCGTTATGACTAAATTCCACACCCAGCTCTGGTTTTGTCCTTGTCTCACTTTGTACCTAGCAAGCTCCCACTAAATATTTTTGGAATTGACCCACAATGAATATAATTAGCTTTTCTTTATCCAAAGGAAGGCAGCGTAGTAGCCACATGGAGGGAGATACTGCCTCTCTCCCAGTCTCTGTTCAGGGTTCTCTTTTTGGTGCTGGAGCAAATTTTCTCTAAATTCCATGTGTTTACAACGTTTGCTCATTAAGGAGTTGATTAAATTTTTTTTTAGGATGTACATCTAGGCCATGCATACTGCTATATCTGTTTGCCTGTTAAAGATCTTAAGTCATTGTCTTGTTAATGAGACAGGAGTCTGTGAAAATTACAAAAGCTCACCCTTTATGAAAGGACAAAGGAAGAATGTTTTACTACTGTCCTCTCTTTTCCCTCTGGGCCTTTCCAGAGGAATGTGGGAGCCGAAGAGCCCCCTTTGTCTGCCTTCATTCAAATGAAGCCCAGACAGCTGCTGCTGGCACAGACCAGGGGCCGAGGCAAGTGGCGTTCTGGCATCTTTTGTCCCCAGTGGAATTTGGATGGCATCTGGGTCTAGTGTACATCGTGATGGGATGCCAGGAGATACTCAGCGGTGGGCACAAACTTTCTTCACCCATTATTTTTAGCGATAAGATGTAATCACCTGACATGGTAATCAAAGATCCTTCTCAACATTTCTCTCTCGCAAGAACTGGGAGCCTAATGGATGGGGTTGGTCCTGTCAGCTGTGCAGACAGCCACCTCCTGGGCCTGCCAACAAAGGCGCATGGATTGCCCGGAGTCTTTTGTGCTCTTCTTGCTTATGTTAATAATTTAATTAACAACAGAAAGTAAATGGTACGGGATAAAACTGTAAATAGTATGTTTGACAAACTCTTACACACCCTTTAGGGAAAATCTACAATATAGAGATGACAATGGACATGGAAAAAAATACATTTATTATAGGCCGGAGTATTTTCTCCATGTTGAATCTTGAATCCGTGTCCAGTAATGATCTTTTACTTGTACATTGTCCGTCAAAATTCATTATCATTTGTGGATCCTCATTACTGACCCCAGTGAAGGAGGAGGGTAGGTGATAGTACGGATCTTTCGTTATCCAGGAAACAATTGACCCACTGCAGGTGAACTCCTGGATGCTGGAATAGACTAGGTCTCATGAGCTATTAGATATGACAAGAAATAATTACACTGCAGTGCATGTCACAGAGCCTAAATTCTAGCACTCTTAGTGGGCTTGGGGAATGATTTTGCTCCGGCTCTAGTCCAGCTTCATTGGCTTTGTCAAACAGCATCATGACATCATTTTTCTTCTTACCCTGTGAGTTTTCTTTCATGGAACACTTTATTGAGCTCAGCTAGTTGAATTGAGTGTCAGAGTGAACAAAAACAGCATCTCCACTGTCTTACTCGTTATGGTTATGCAAGCTTGGAAGACTGTTAACCACAGGCTGTGGGTATATACGAATTTCAAAAGGCACCACAGGTAAATGTCTAGGCTGTGAGAAGGAACCCCAAAGGTATCTGGTCAAATGCCATTCTAAGAAGGATAAAAGGAAGGTGGGGCAGCAGCTGGGGTCTCGGCCTCTATGGAAAGGTCAGGAGGACCAGGTCGGCGGTCAGGTCCTTGGTGGGCATTCCATTCCGTTCAGCCTCATCCTCAGGCTTGCCTCTTCGTTTCAAAGCCGACTCTGCACTTTCTCAGTACTTACCTGCCTTTTCTAGCCGATGCCTGGAATTCAGGGAAAGTCCAGCTTTGCACACAGTATCTTCGAACTGTGTGCAACTAAGCTTTAATCGACTGTGTTTTCAATGAATGATATGCGAGCAAACTCCTGCGCAGGGAACAGTACTTGCATCATTCATGCCTTGCACTGAGAATGTGGGGGTTTTGAAAGGATGGCATGGGCAGATGTTTGTGTTAAAGGCGTCTCTTCTCAACTCGATCCTCTCCCTCTCCCCGGTCCGTGTGTGCTGTGCAAAGCGCTCTGCCCAGGCCCATGGCTCTGCGGGGCTTGTTTTCTGCTCCGCCTGCTCCGCGCTGAGGCCTGTGAAGAGCAGGAGAGCTGTTGACTCGCTGGCGGCCTCAGCCTAGCCCAGACCCTGGCACAGGCCGGCGCTCAGTGAACGTGGAAGAAAGGAGCGGTCGGAGAGCCTCAGAGGTTGATATGCCCAGGTCCCCAGGAGGGCAGCCCTGTTGATTCTCTCACTTTGTTTGGGCCAAGGGAAAAGTCTAGGAACTAGGTGTGTGGGGGGCGGGGGGGCCCTGTGACTTCATGTTGACTGGTTCATATTGTCCCCCGAGAAAAGAGCTGTCTGGAGTGAGCCCCGGACTTGATATCTGCATTTCCTAATGGGTATGTCTGGGCCTGGTTTGTCTTGTTCTTAGACTCCCGTCTTTTATGGAGCGCCTCCTCCCTGTGTGAGAGGAGCTGTGCTCTCTGCTAGCTGACCGAGGGGATGCGGGAGGTGGGGCGCTCCTTGGCAGGGCTCCTGGAGGCCCTGGGGGAAGTCGTGGGGTTCTGACAGCATCTACTCCATTGAAGCCATTTCAAGAAGGGGCCCCTTTCAGCCAGGGCAACAAGGAGTGTCTTGTTCTGTCCTCCGGAGCCCCGCGAGGGCCGCCGTGTCTGAGCGGTGCATTAGCATCAGGCAGCATGCCACAGGAGGGAAGGGTTTCATCGGGGCCCCTGGGAACTGGCCGCAGGGGGAGGCCGGCGGAAAGCGGCCACTCGCTGCCAGGGCAGTGCCGTGCCAGGGAAACTTGACGTGGAGGATGCAGCCGGCAGCAAGGGCCGTGGCGTGGGCCGCGGCGAGCCACAGGGGAGCCTGGCTTGTGGATGTGGCACGGAGAGCACGCAGATGGGTCATTTTAGGTTTCTCTTGGGAGCAGCCCTCCCACCGTAAGATGCTTTGTTTTCAGTTTCCTTTGTACTTTGCAAATTCCAGTTGAGCCCGAGGGTAAAAAAAAACAACAACAAAAAGAGATGGTACCCCACAAAGAGATGATATCACAGACTCAAGTGTTCGCTTGGGGTTATTTTCAAGGAAATGATGCTTTCGTGTTCTTGATAAAACCATCCTGAAGCCCTTTGAATGCTTTTAAAAGCCAGACAGCATGGGGAGGTGCTGTTTAAATTGTGTATATTACTCCTGACTCTCCAGCCCCACAGAGCCCAGTCTCCTCCTCCTCCTCTAAAGAAGCCTGTCTTTCGCACACTGCTGTGTCCACGCTTCCCGCCTTCTCGCATTACGCCGTGAGCACCCACGAGGGAACCCCAGCTCGTGGACCCCAGACCACCTGGCTTTACCTTCTGACTGCACTGCTTGAATTGTTTTTTTGTATGTGTGTGTGTGTTGTTTTGTTTTTAAATATATTTTTCTTGATTTCAGATAGGAAGGGAGAGAGAGATAGAAACATCAATAATGAGAGAGAATCATTGATCGGCTGCCTCCTGCACGCCGCCCCCCCCACTGGGCATGTGCCCAGACCAGGAATTGAACTGTGACCTCCTGGTTCATAGGTCAACGCTCAACCACTGAGCCATGCTGGCCTGACCGCTTGGCTGTTTTACTGTGAGCAGGCACTTCACACTCCCAACTTCAGCTTTGTCCTCTGGGAACACGGAAATAATCATGCCAGTATTTTCTTTCAAGATTTTTGATAAGACTAGATTAGATGGTACTTGCAAAATGCAAAACGTCCTCTACCTGTCACGTAAATAAACCTGTTTAGAACAAGGCCCAGTTCCTACCCTCCTGGGGTGTATGGCCTGGTGAGAGAAACAGGCGAGTCGGTAAATGTTGGGGGATCGGTGTGGGATGAGTGACCCATGATTTCATAGGTCAGCAGGTGTTTGCCGAGTCCCTGCTGTGTGCCAGGCCGTGAGCCGTATAGATACGGTGCCTGCTTTCACGAGGCTTACGGTGGACCAGGAGCGTGCAGAGGGGAGTGTGGGAACAGGACCGCCAGACTGGGATGGGGACGAAGTATGGGTGCACGCATCAGAGCAAGCTGCCTGGGAGAGGCGAGGCTTGTGTTTTCAGTGTGGAGTGGGTGTGTGGAACAAAAGAAGTCAGACAAAAAGGGGACACAACATGGGATTCCATTTTCTTACAGAACGGGATAGGCAACACTTGTCTATGTTGGTGGCAGCCAGAACCGGGGTTACATTTCCGGGAGGCCATTGCTTGGAAAGGGATAAAAGGGGACCTCCTGGCGTGTGTCTGCGGACCTGGTGGAATGTGTACGTGGGTAAACCTAAGGAAACTCACAGAGCTAGTTACACGTAAGATCAGTGCAGGGTTTTATTTTACATACGTTCTTCAATCTAACATTTTTAAGTAGCGATTATGAGGGGGTGTGGCTCAGTAACACAGCAGGAAGGTTGTATTTGAGAGTGAACAGAGCCAGTAGAAAAGGTGTGGAACAGCATGACGTGTTCTAGCACTGGACATCGGCTGCTCTGGATGGAGGGTGGATACACGTGGGGGTGAAGAGGGGGTGGCAGAGCCCGGCCGGTGTGGCTCAGTGGTTGAGCATTGACCTATGAACCAGGAGGTCACGGTTCGATTCCCGGTCAGGGCACATGCCCGGGTTGCGGGCTCCATCCCCAGTGTGGGCGTGCAGGAGACAGCCGATCAGTGATTCTCATCATTGATGTTTCTATCGCTCCCTCTCCCTTCCTCTCTGAAATCAATAAAAATCTATTTTTTTAAAAAAAAGATGGGCCGAAACCGGTTTGGCTCAGTGGATAGAGTGTCGGCCTGCGGACTGAAAGGTCCCAGGTTTGATTCCGGTCAAGGGCATGTACCTGGGTTGCGGGCATATCCCCAGTAGGAGATGTGCAGGAGGCAGCTGGTCGATGTTTCTCTCTCATCGATGTTTCTAGCTCTCTATCTCTCTCCCTTCCTCTCTGTAAAAAATAAATAAAATATATTTAAAAAAATAAAATAAAAAAAAATAAAAAAAAGATGGGATGTTAGTGAGAAAGAAGCATCTTTTAGGTGCAAGCTATTATGGGAGGAAAAACGTTGTTTTTCAAGTACTGGACATGAAGAAGGGAAGAAGGTAGAGTGGCCCTAGTAGAAATTGACCTTGGTTGGAATCTCGGATGTTAGAACTTAGTATCCTCATCTTTCTCACCGGCTTTTGGGAGGACTGTATGATATAATGGATGGATGTCAAGTGCTGTGTCTGCCACGTCGTATGGACTTAATGCTTCTTAAGATATTTCAAAGTTGTGTATGGGTGTGTGGCTCATTTCATTGCAATCCCAATATTTGGCTTTTCCAGGCCATAAACTGTATTATGGAGTAGTGCTTGCTTATATGAAACTTTTGATCCTTTCATTAAATAATTATTTTGTTTCATGTAAATATAGCTTAATGTTGAAGAAAAAGTCTTGGTTGTTTTGTGCCTTGAATTATTTTTGGCTATACTCATTAAGCCGTATTAATAAGCATTTGAGCACAGTCTAAAAAAGGTCAAAAATTTCTATTTCAATAGAGTTCATATTTGGCAATATTGGTTGAAGAGGGAACAAAGCAGCTTTAAATATGTCACGTTTCTCCTCTTTTCCGAAATGGTTTGAGTATGGGGGGAAGGGGAGGGGAGGGCATGGAGGGAGACTGCCTTAGTGGGATGTTTCTTCTTTTTTAAGGAAATTTACTTTTTTGAAATGTTTAACTTCAGATTATGCGTTACTGAACATGCTTTTGTGATTGCAATGTGTAAGTGTAGTCAGCTCTTTATTAAAGGTTAAACTGTCAAGTGAGAAGTTCCACTTCACCAATAGGTAGCCAAGTTCATTCAGAATAGTTTAAGTGTCCCAGATGACCATTTAAAACCCCTTACCTTTGTTGTGAAGGTCAGCCCCAGACCTCTCTAGGCCATCTCTCCCCTGTTTGGGAAGTGGCTTTGCATTCTAGGACATGCTTCGTTCTCTGTAAACACCCTGCATCTCTCAACGGGCTCTGCCCTGTGTGCTTGTTTAGGAGCGAGCGAGCCCGCTGGATAACCGCCCTGGGACACAGCAGCGGGAAGCAGCCTCCTGACCGAACCTGTAAGTAACTCCTGGGCTGTCTGCTCTGAAAGGCTGACCGTGGAGGGGCTCTGCCCCCTGCTGGACGCTGGGGTATTAACGCTTCCCCCAGGTTTCTTTCCTTCCTACTGCCTGTCCTACATCAGAACTAGGTGATCCCTGCTTTGGAAGTCCAGGGCTCTGAGTTCAAATCCAAGGTGCAGTGGTTCTTTGTTGTATAAATGGGGTACATTGTGGCATATCCACCCCGAGCCAGTTTGACCTTCTGCAATTGGGGGCATCATGATATATACACTGAGTGGCCAGATTATTATGACCACCCCATCAGTACTTCATTGACACTTCCAAAAATACTGAATATTGAAAGCTTCCTAAGCAAATACTCTGAAGGTTTTATTATTATTTGCATAACTAATTAACTTCATTGTACTGATGGGGTGGTCATAATAATCTGGCCACTCAGTGTACAGTACTGGGTTATTGGGAAGAAGGAGTTAAATAATATCCATTGAAAGCCCTGCTTAGACTTGTGAAAGTAAAGCTCTTAACATTTCTAGCTGTGGTTCAGGGTCATTGGCTGCATGTTTAAGCCATACTGACTGTCTAAATCTAAGCTGAAATGTATTTTTAACCGTAAAGAAAATGGCTTTACCATTCCTTTTGACCTTTTTTTTTAAAATTGAAGTGGAAATAGTTACAAAATGTATTTCATTCTTCTAGAGAACTAGGAACTAATGCGGTCCAGGGTGCTGTATTAGCGCCTTCACGCTGATGTTATGCTTCTCCTGATGGTTCTAGCTGGAAGGTCAAACCCAGAGGATAAAGGGCAACGAAACTGTTTGTCCTGGAACACTCAGAAGTCACAGCTTTAAGCGTAGAGCCAAAGCTAAAGTGATGGATTGGAATAAAAGTTCATAGACTCAAGTTCTGTATTAAAAAAACAAATTAAGTAAGAAGTCTTGCCCGTCAGTACCAAGTCACTGAAGTTAATGGCTTTATTACGATTTAGCATAATGGGGAAACTCACAAAGTTTTCTAACTTTTGGTTGGAGATCTTTTTATTTCTACACCTCTTTGGCAGCTTCCATGTGCTGCTGCTGATGGGAAAGCACCTTGGATGAGAGCCTGGAGGCCTGGATGTGTTGTGGATTTCATCATCAGCTGCATGGCCTTGGCACGTTACCTGACCTGTCTTATCTCAGTTTCCCCAGTGCATATGGCTGTGTTCTGCTCTGTTATGTGACGTGACTAATGGCTCCTTATCAAGGCTGTTCTTGAGGGGATTCCTACATCATAAAAGGCCTCTCTCGATTCTGAGCTTCTGAAGTTATAAAGCTCTTAGCCCAGTATTTTCTGCTTCTTCATAGAAGCCTAAGTTGTTTCTATCAACGCCGGCCCCGAGTTGCACAGAGAGACTGAGAACACCATTGATTTGTACCTGTTCTGTTTTTCCTCTGCTGCTGGAAGCTCAGTATGTCCCCTTTCCTCCCTAGCACTGACCCAGGTAGAAATCATTAGATCGTTTACCGCCAAGCAGCCAGACGAACTCTCCCTGCAGGTGGCCGACGTGGTCCTCATTTATCAACGTGTCAGCGACGGTGAGTGCAAGCGTTCTCACGGGCGGGCCAGCGTTCAGGGTGTGAGGAACCAAGGAGGCTGCTTCTTGTTATTCCTGTGCACGTTCCACATCCCTTCGGTTTTTCTCATGTGCACCAGCCTCTCCTCTTTCTACACTTTATGGCTCTTACGTGTTCTTGAAAAGGGATGCAGTCACGTGGTTTGTTACTCGAAAGGAGCTATGAAAAGTTTTCCTTCCTTCCCAGTGACCTAGCTCTCATCTCCGGACAATCATTTTTTCCTGCTGCCCCTACCCAAAGCGCCCTCCTCCCCAGCTCAGCCCAAACTCACAGACTGTCTCAGCTGCTCACTTCGGAGCCTCTGGCCATGTCACTCATTCTCCCTTGAAGACATCCCCTCTGTTCCACCTCCCTCTCCACCTCCCAGCATCTGCGGTACCCAGCCTCCCTCCTTGTGGGAGCCGAGCACAGTGGAAATACCTCCAGACACGCTTGCTTCATGAGGACTCTGTTCTTCTCTGCAGGCTGGTACGAAGGGGAGAGACTGCGAGATGGAGAAAGGGGCTGGTTTCCGATGGAATGTGCCAAGGAGATAACATGTCAAGCCACAATCGATAAGAATGTGGAGAGAATGGGACGTTTGCTAGGACTGGAGACCAACGTGTAGCCTCTCTGGTGGCCTTTTGCGACTGCAAGATTTGCACTGCATCGTGGTGGGTGGGATGGTCCTGGGCTGGTGTTCTTCTGAGTTTTTACTGAAGAGTCTTCCGGCTGATTTGATTAAAAGGAGGAAAACATTTGCCTTTAAGCTTGCCAGGTGGTTTTGCTCTCTCAGGAGAATGGCTAGTTCGCCAAGCTGGGTGTGCGCACAACGATCCTGTTGCAAACCTCTAGGCCAGGGGTCCTCAAACTACGGCCGCGGGCCACATGCAAATACAAATATTGTATTTGTTCCCGTTTTGTTTTTTACTTCAAAATAAGATATATGCAGTGTGCATAGGAATTTGTTCATAGTTTTTTTTTTTTTTAAACTATAGTCCGGCCCTCCAACGGTCTGAGGGACAGTGAACTGGCCCCCTGTTTAAAAAGTTTGAGGACCCCTGCTAGGTAAACAGAGTAGCTGGGCAGGCAGTCCACATGCGGGATGCAGGGGCCTGGACTCCTCCCAGTTGCACTGCGTCTGGCAATAAAACATGTACATACGATGCTGTATCCTGATTCTCTAGCCTCACTTAACCAAGAATGGGCTCTCGCTGTGTAAGCATCGCCTTTATGTGGTTTTCCCAGCATTAGCAGGCGTCTCTATCTTGAAGGAATGCTCAGTTTTGTATATCCTTTTCCTGCTCTGACATTTTAGGTCTGATTAGAGTGCTGTGTGGATTTCGAGAGAAACTGACAGAGTTCTGAAGGTGAGCAAAGTATTTTTAAACCCTTTCCAGGGAAAGGGAAATTGACACTTGAATTGTGGCCACCTCTCTCCTGGTCAGCAGGGAAGGAAGGAGGCCTTACTTATTTTTTAAAAAATATATCCATCGTACCCAATATTGGCCTAAGACAAGTATAGCCTAATAACACTACGCTACTTTAACAGCATAAAATTTAGATGGTTCGCATATGTGAGAAAAGCTTAAATATAGGACAGTAATCCCAACTGAGCTGATACACGGACATGAGGCTGCTTCGCCTTCAGTAATGCAAGGTTTCTGACTGTTTCTCCTCCCACTCATTTCCAAATAGGAAATGGGCTGACACACTTTAACACTCCCAAGGAAGATCAGATTTGGCCTTAAAAGGGACCAAGAAACCAGCATGGTACTGAACTGAAACATAAGTTTGCCTTTCATGGGGGAACCCATTTTCTCTGCACAAAGGCCTCCCTGGCTGGGTTTGGAGCCTCTCTTTACTGCAGGTGTCTGCAGAACTTTACTTCTTCCACTCGTGCAAGGAGAGAGAAGAGCCATTTTAGAAGTGTGTTTCAGACGCAGGGCGTGAGGTTTGGAAGACTGAGAAGGGGAGAGCTGATCTGTACCACCAGTTATGTTCGCACTCTGCTCCATTCTCTTCCACCAACGGGTAAAACCTGGCAAAGGATGTATTGTTCAAGGCCTCAGATCTCTGTGTGACATGCCCAGCTGCTGCCTGCCAACCAGTTACCCAAATTGGCAGTAAAGTTGAAAATAGTGCAGGAGGTAAGTATAGTTGGCTCTCGTGCCCTGAGTTGCCACCTCAGCAGTGAGGCAGGGAGGAGCACCCTGGACCTTCTTGCCCTGATGGCTCCCCTTTCCCTGTGCATACATTTCTGGGAATAAAACACATGCCAGGCCCTTGAGGTCAGGAAGTCACAGCAGGAGGCCGCAGCAAGAGATGTTGGGGACTGAGAAAAAAAGAAATCTGTCTCCTTCCTCGTTAACGTCAGAGACTTTTTGAAGGAGAGGGGAACAAGTTGTAATCTAATCTAACCTGATGTTTTCATGTAGGAAGGAAGGTCAATTTGTTGCTTGCACAGGGATCAATTTTGTGTTATTTTTGCTAATACCCAGACGCTAAAAAGCAACTAAACGAGTCCTGTGAATTAATTTATAAGTAGAGATGTCAAACAGCTTTGGAAATATGTGCATCTTATAAGTCAAAGCCTTATTGAGCAGGCAGGTTAATACTGTTGTTAGGTATAGTGTTTTACAGGAGGTATTTAACACATTCACAACATGTGTCGTTTTTATGCGACACAGTGCTGTTTGCCAACCTAGTTCAGGTTCTAGAATAGCTTCTCTGAATTGCACAATTTCATTCAGCGACCTGTGGAGAACAAAAATACTCATTTTTGTCCCAATGAATCGAGACTGCTTTGTACACTTTTGACGAAACATGTGAATTGATAAAGATTTTGTATATACGTGTTCATTTGTCCTGGTGTGATTTAATTTACTGTAGATATATTCATTTAAGTAAATGGTTTGCTGAATTCTTGGCCAAATCTGAGTTCTACGAAAAAGATATCGGCAGCTGACATCAAAGGGAACAGGTGTGTCCTTGGTTTCTTGTTGGCATCAGCTGCCCCGAAGGCTGGAGCATTTTTAAGAGCTGGGCCGTACTGTTTCTTCTCATGGTGTCCACAAAACTGCATGACTGACTAGCTTCTATTAAATAGTTCACAGTCCCCTAACCGCTATTGACCCCTGGAGTATATTTTATTCATTTTGGCCACCTAGTATCTAAACCTTTGTGCTTGTGAAATTTTACTACCTTGTGAATCTTGGTCGAAGGCAAAGAATGAGTTGTTCTATAGCAGTGGTTCTCAGCCTTCTGGCTCTTTAAATACAGTTCCTCATGTTGTGACCCAACCATAAAATTATATTCGTTGCTACTTCATAACTGTAATGTTGCTACTGTTATGAATCGTAATGTAAATATCTGATATGCAGGATGGTCTTAGACGACCCCTGTGAAAGGGTCATTTGACCGCCAAAGGGGTTGCGACCCACAGGTTGAGAACCGCTGTTCTATAGTTAGTTGTTTTTTTTTTTTGCTGTGTGACAGATTTCTATAAGACAACACTCATTTTTTAATCTCACAGTTTTTAAAAATGTTTTAATTTTTAGAGAGGAAGGGAGAGAGAAACATTGATGAGAGAGAAACATCTATTGACTGCCTTCTACATGCCCTATACTGGGGATCTAGCCTGCAACCCAGGCATGTGCCCAGACTGGGAATTGAACCGGCAACCTCTCAGTGCATAGGACGATGCTTAACCGAGCCACACTGGCCATCACATAGTTCTGTGCCGGAAGCCGGCCCATCCTTGCTGCTTGACACAGTCGCTGCAGGAAAGAAACATCTGCACAGCATATGTTTCAAGGGACCTGGCGTATATAGCATACTGTTCTTAATATGTTTGCTCCCCTTAGCACTGTGTGTTTTAACCAAGGTCACCTCTCTGAGAAAGGTTGTTTCCCCAGGTAGGAATTTTTCCCTGAAGTCAGGGAGGGGATGAAACTCCTTAACTAAGTGCCAGGCGGGTAGTTAATCACTACAAACAATCATGCTTAAGCTACATAATCTTTACTCCCTGGAATGGAGATAAGAAACGCCCTAACCTTTGTAATAGAAATTGACAGGATTAAAATCAACTGGGATAAATACGGATGTAACAAGACAATAAACAGCAGAACTTCGCTGGAGATCCAGACCAGAACTTGGCTGGAGATCCTGGCTAGAGATCCTGGCTAGGCTGCTGATCAACTGAACGCTGTCTCTGTGTCATTCCTTCTTCGCCGACTCCATCCACACCTTTGGGGACCCCTGGACCTGCTGGGGTTGGACTCCGGCAGTTCTGTAGTCAGAAGTCAAGGATGGCCTGGTGGGGTTCTCTGCTTGGAGCATCGCAGACTGAAGTCAGAGTGTTGGCTGGCTGATTTCTCAACTGGAAGGAGCTAAGGTGTCTTCTTTCAAGCTCATACCTGTCACTCACACCTTCACTTCCTTGTGACAGTCGCCTGAAATCCCTGTTTCCCTGCTGGCTGCCAGTGCAGGGTGAGAGGGAGAATGCTCACAGCTTCCCCTGGCTGTTCATATTCCTTGCCAGGTGGCTTCTTCCATCCTTAAGGCAGCAGTGGCATGTTGAATCCTCACACTTGGGATCCCTCTGACTCCATACACAATATGCTACCAGCAGGGGAAAAAACTCTGCTTTTAAAGAACTCCTGTAATTCTATTAGACCCACGGGATGATCTCCCTTACGTTTAACTCAAAAGCAATTGGTTAGGCATCTTAAATTAAACCTGCAAAAGTCCTTTGCCACTCAGTGCAACGTAATCAGACACAACACCAAGGAAGCAGAGATCAGGAGTCATTTTAGATTTCTGTCTCCAACACCCGTTATAAATCCTTAAAATGCTTAGTTCCCCAGTATTCCGTGTAGCTAAAATACAGCCATGTGCTAGGATACACCAAAGGAACCTTTGTTAGATTTCCACACAAGCTAGGGAAGGAAAAGAAAAAAGGAGTATCATCTCTGGGGCTGCCTCCCCACCTGCTCCATCCTCCATTCCAAATTACTGCTACGTTCGCTGGACTTTGGAAAGCAACAGAAAGGTGGAGTTACTTGGTGGACTTGCAGTGCTAAACGACGCTGGCCGTAGTGCCTGTCATAATCTCCCATGTTGTGGATTGGGTCTTCAGAGGGCTTACTCCGGAGTGAGAATATGAATCTTGAGGACCTGCAGCCTCCCTCTTTGGGCTTCTAGAATACTAAGATCCTGACAGAAGGAAACAAAACCTACTCTAGAGGAAGCTAGCATCATCTTATTTCTCAAGTATTTCCAAAAACAAATTCGCAAATGAAAGGTTCAGAAAAAATAAATCTGAGACCCAGCATCATGATACAGAAAAAACTGACACTCAGGGATTCTAGATATTCAAATCATTGGAGACAATAAAATAATTGTAATAGCTGTGCTCATGGAGATAAAGCCAAACTTTAAAATGCAATACAGAACTAACAACTTCAAGAAGAGATCAACCGAAGGACTTGTATGCATGCATATAAGCATAACCAATGGACATGACGCTGGGGGGTAGGGGAGGCCAGGGGAAGATCAAGGGGGGTGGGAGGAGACATATGTAATACTCTTTGTAATACTTTAAGCAATAAAACAAAAAAGTGACAAAGGAAAAACAGCAGCTAGAAATTGTGGAACTGGGTTTTTACACAGGATTAGATTGTTAAAAGAGAGATTGTTGAACTGGAAGTGAGGCGAGAAGGAACCTACATGGAAGCATGGAGAGGAGAGACATGTGGAATGCAAGGATATGTAACGACTCCAGAGGAGAGGGGAGAGGGCACTGGGCAAGGACTGCACCTTTATGACCCTGTTTTGACCACCCATATGGTGTAAACTGTCCCCAGAAAGAGAAAGTGGCCCTGGGTGAGAGGACTCCCTACAATTCCTGCAGAGGGTGAAGGCTGTCATCTTGGTAGCACTTCCAGCAGCTAAAGGAATAAGTTCATCTGGGCAGAATATCACAACATCCACTGCATGTAGCTATGTCAATACTAGATCAAATCGTCCTTAAGATAAAAGGTATTTCTAGGGATAGTGAGTCTACATAATGATGAAAGTTCCATTTAACCAGAAGGAGATAACAATTCTAAATATATATTATCCCAATCACATGATGTCACTATATATAAAGCAAAAATTGGCAGAAAGAGAAGAAATCTAAAATCATAGCATGAGACTTTAACATACCTTTCTCACTTGACAGGAAAAAAAAAGATATAACAGTGCAGAAGCAGATAAAAATCAAGTAGATATGAATGACTGTAAAATAACAGGCATAATGGGACTCTGCAGCAATTTCAGTATATACTTTTTTTTTTTTTTTTAGGCACACAAAATATTTACATTTCCTGAATGGTAAAACAAGTTTTACCAAATTTTAAAATGCAATTGGAGGATTGAAGTTAGGAGAGAGCGAGTCCTCTGATAACATAATTAGGTTAGACATCAATAACAAAAGTAAAATTAAGAAATATTCATTTATTTGGAATAAATGAAAAACTATAAAACTCTTAGAAGAAAATATAGGGGGGAGATCGAGGTGGTCTTGGGTTTGGAGATGACTTTTTAAATACCACACTAAAAACATGATCAATGAAAGAAAAACTTGGTAAGTTGAACTTCATTAAAAGACAAGAAAAAGACAATCCAGAGTATGAGGAAAACTAGCAAAACATCCAATAAAGGATCGGCATGTAAAACATATCAAGAACTCTTAAAACTCAACAATTAGAAAACCCATTTTAAAAATGGGCAAAGATCTGGAAAGCTCCCACAGATACACCTATGGCAAATAAGCACCTGAAAAGGTGCTTAAGATCATACATTAAGAAGTTGCATATTGAAAATGAGATTATGATGCACCGATTAGAATGGCTAAAATCCATAACCTTGACAATATCAAATACTGCTGAGAAGGTGGAGCAACAGGAACTAGCATTCACTGCTGGTGGGAGTGCAAAGGCCACTGGAACAAGTTTGGCAGTTTCTTACGGAACTAAACCATATGCAGCAATCACAATCCTTGGTATCTACTCAAATGAGTTTAAAACTATGTCCACACAAAAATCTGCACACAAATGTTTATAGCAGTTTCATTCATAATGACCAAAGCTTGGATATTTAAACCACTTGACAATTCAACAACTTAGATAAAAATGGACCAATTCATTGAAAATCACAAACTGCCAAAAGTCTAGTCCTGTAACTAAATACATTGAATTCTTAAAAATTAATAAATTCTTAATTTTAAAACTTTTGAAAAAGAAATATCCAGGTGCACATGGTTTCACTGAAGTCTTCCAAGCATTTAAATAATTATCACCAATTCAATACAATCTCTTCCAGAAACTACAAATTGGTATCCCTCATGAACAGAGCAGCAAAAATCTTAAAATATTACACATTGCAACCCAAGTGGGGTTTATTCTAGCAATGTAGGACTGGTTCAATATTTGAAAATCAATCAATGCAATCCACCAAGAAGAAAAACCAAAGCAAAATCATGGCTTTATCAGTTGATGTAAAAATATTTAAAAAGTTGAAATAGTTGGGAAAACTCTCAAACTAGGGCTAGAAATCATCTTTGATATTTTGCTGACCTTCAGTTGTAGAAAAACACATGGTTTTATATGCCATTTCTTGCTTTTTCATTATGAATGTATATTTGTCAAGTTAGGAGGATAGAACATATTTCATCCAAGACTTGTGGTGTTGGCTTTCATTTGTATTCTTATTCCAGAACCTACAAAAATGTTTCTTTGCCTTCAAATCAGGTTTCCAGTAACAATGAAAAAGAACAAGTAATTTAACAAGAGAAATAGCTGTTAAAAGAGAA